ACGGTCAGCCCTTTCCTCTGGTTCCTAGGCCACCATTAGAACTTACGTTATTTGCTTCTTATCCCCCCCCCGGGGATATTCGACCTTGAAACTTGATCTGTCATTCTAATGAAAGAATATTGATTGATGGCATTTCAAAATAAAACTTCGAGAAAGATATTTCGATCTATAGAAACATAGTATTGCAGAAAAGTGCACAGTGAAGTTCACAATTTGTTCCCATTACCTAATATTATTGGGGAACGGGGTAGCGTAGTTGGCTTAGGCACTGTGCTATAAGCCGGAAGGTCGCGGGTTCGAGTCCCGATGAGGTGGATTTTTTTTCAATTTACTTAATCCTTCCAGCCGCACTATGGCCCTGGGGTCGACTCAGCCTGTAACAGAAATGAGTACCAGAAGTCTTCCTAGGGGGTAAAGGACGGTCGGCACGTAAGGCTGACAACCTAACCGCCATCTGTGAGCCGATTATCTAGAAAATGTGGGAGCCTCAACATCTCACAACCCTATGGGCCTCCACGACCTGTTACAGGGAGATATAGCTCAATTATTCTTGATCTCGGCACTAGATGGAGGTGACCGTTTTAACACCGAGGAAATAACCCCCGGTACCTATTGAATTGGTCCCAAAGCCGGTCTAGACGATATGGAGAAAAGAAAAACTTTTTGTCTCTGCTGGGAATCGAACCCTAGCCTTTCAGTCTATAGCCCGTCGCTATACCGATTGCGCTATTCCGTCTCCATGCCGGAGACCTTGGGGGGGAGAGGGATGGAATGAACAGGCTTGAGTGTTCATGCCATGAAGTGAAGTTGTAAAACGGAGCATTTCGCATTACGGCACGAGCATGTAGTGCAACAACAGCTATTTCATAGTGTGGTGCGTACGGTGTGATTGCCTTTGCAGCTGTAGATTAGCAAGAAGACCACCAAGTGCTGAAAAAATCATAACTAACGCACTTGGAACCTTGCCACCGTTGTTTTGATGTGGTACTCAAGGCAGTGTCGGCGGGGACGCGTAATGAAGTTCAAAGAGAGATTGCTGTCTAATTTAGAGCACAAAAGACAGGACCGTAGGTAGAAAAGGGAAATTTGTCACTT